TGTGCAATTTTTGAAATTCTTTCAAAGCGATCGTAGTACTTACACAAATGCCTCCGCCCCTGAGGAGTCGCCAAATAAAGACAGACTACCCGGTGGACCAAAGGAAAACTGTATTTTACGTATAGCACCATGATTTTAAGTCCGACCGTTGAAAAAGAGCTCAGCTAAAATCTTACTTGTAAAGAAGTCACACACGAGACTACAAGTATCAGAAAACAACCGAAATTCTTCAGCACGTACGGTCCTGCATCGGAAACGAACCGAACTGGATTTGTACATTCTTTTCTAGATATCCACACATTTCTAGCACCGAATTCTTGCAACACACGTCATTTAATTACACAAGTCAACACACATATATCAGGCTATGTGTACCGATTGTAGTACGTATATATGCCTGGTACAGTCTAGAATTCATAGAATTAAAACTACTAGGCATAGGGACAACATATAATCAACATATCAGTGCCAAATCAAACTTCGAATCAATTTTAGCTTTCTACATAGGCAGGCCTCATGGCAATTCTGGAAGTGGTATATTATATACACAACAAAAAGGCATGCTCTCTACACAATATAAATACTAATAATAATAAACCACGGCCATCATCGTCCTTACAAACATCAGTGTATCTGAAAAATCTTGAAGCAAAAACAGAGAAAACATACAGCATTTGTTGAATACCTTTAAAAGACTAAACATGTTTTAATTAGTGAATGTCCTAGTGTATGGCGATGTGTCCAATTCCTGTACGAATCTGGCTTAATAAGACCTTATTTTCAACAGCACATGGTATGTTATTGCACAGGCATAAAGCGACCGTTTGAACAGCTTTTTCAATCTAAAATAATAAGTTAAATAAATAAAGAACATTACAAGCACATTTGTCATGGTAATATTGCAGTGGGTAGGTACAAAATAAGATGCAAATGTTTACACATCCAATACCAACCCACGATGAATGCACATTTATAAAATAAATAAATACTTTGTCATGTTATGATTCAGGAGAATCTAGATTATTTTGAACAAAAACTTATAGCGTTATCGTTAGAATGAGCCAAACTGTCTATACAAGTTGCATATTTGAATATAGACAAACGCAACCATAAAACATATGAGCCATATGGACTCATCGCAACGGTATTTCTTTGAAGTCAATTTCAATGACATTTTCATCTCGCTCCTTGTTCCAATCGTTATTCGTTGATGTTCAAACTCGGGTAGTAATGACAAAAATATGGCGCCGCTAACTGTGGACGACCCATGCCTGAAAACAACATTGATTGTTCAGTAAAATGGAAGTACGGTGGACCTTTCTCATGTAACATTTGTAACAGTTATGGTTACATGCAGACCCGTAATTCTGCCAAGAACACGTCGTTTGTGTGTTATCAGACTGTACTAAGGGGTAATTCGTTGTTAAGTGCCAGAGGACATAGCGATGTGGGGATGATTCGTTATGTGCCAGAGGAGATGGTAATTGATCGAGATGAAATCTAATGAGTAGGAGTATTGGCCCATTCTTTAGTTCCATTTGATGCAGGCTAACAGAAATGGACACTGTAGATACGTCAATCTTTCGAGAAACATCCTCTGATAGTTAAATTGCCCTGAGGACGCTTAGGTACATACACGTACTGCATTTGGCACAGGCAGAATGTCACATCCTGTGATCTGTTCTATGGGCGACACACTTCCAACTTATTGTCCATGACAATCACAATAACGTAGTCTGAGCCTGAAATGGTGAACAATGTAACTGTGCACAAGGCATTGTCACATACTGTGCACTAATGATGTCAAGATTCACGTCTGTACAAGTAAGGCAAGTCATTGGGGCACATGAAAATATGTGATGTCCGTTATTGGGCAAGAAGACAGCATTATTTCTCAGATTGCATTCACCCCATTTACTGCGTATTCTGACGAATGCACTGGAACCTGAGAAATGACAAATTTGGATGACTCTTGCTTTTTTCTTCTTCAACTGTTGTGTACGGCAGAAACACCACAATTTGCAAATGGCGCCTGTCTTTCCACATGAAATCCAATACTAGTATCCCAGACATCGCATCAATAATTGCAACTAATATAAATAATTATCCCTCGCCGAGGTTTGTTGCATATAATACTTAACACTGATAATTCATATTCGCACACCATTCAGAGTATTTGTACATTCTTCATAAAATCAGTATTCTTTTCGAGTAACACTCCTAAGAGTGTACGAATGTACAATATATGGCCATGCTAGCACGATCCATTTAGTGAATTCAAGATGGCAGCCTCTGCTTGAGACGTCCGCCATGTTTGTTCTGGCCATGCCGGTTCATTAGTTCGGAACGAAAGATGTTGATATTTCCCACAATGCCTGCTGCCTCCGGTCAATACACATGGGGTACTGATTTCGCACCCTTTTATTTCGCCCCACCCCTCCATTTGTTTTGATTTGACCCAACTGTAAGGTGCTTTACTACATAGAGACAACCGAATTGCCGCTAAGAAGGACTGAAATGTGGTTTTGCGCTTGTTCTTGGGGATATGACAATTTGCATAGTCCGTAACTGAACGCTTTTTTTAGACGTAGCCGATATCACAAATCAGTTTCCTGATCGATATTTTCTTCCGAATCTTCGACAATGGACTCGAGAGTGGGCGGGACAGGTAACTTGTTGCGGGCCCTGGCAGCGGCTAGACCGGCATGGCCGAACAGCTGGCGTCATCGCTGCGCCTTGGGCGGCACGACGACCACCGGCGGGCCCTTCTGCGGCCTCCACACCAGCATCTGCGCATCGTTCGCGTTCGGTTTCCTCAGCGCCGTCTCCGGGATCGGCTGGTTGTTTGTCAGAATGTACGGCTGTTCTTGTTTCCCCGTGCCGACCAGACGGGCCCGCTTGCCTGCGTCCTCTAGCGGTTCCACCTCGATCTGCAGCCTCATTCTCCACTTGATAGTCCTAAGCGGGCGCACTTCCCCGGAGTCCAGGTTCATAACGGCCAACCAAGTGGTGAAGCCCTGGTCACGTGTTATCCGGGTCAAGTGTGGGAAGTTTCCACTGCTAACGGGGGTGTCCCACGTCACGGAGGGGTAGAAATTGTCGTTCATGCTGAGTTCTACCTTCAGAGGGCTGTGCGTGGGACCTTCCACTACCGCCACCTCCGTGGTAGCGCCGTACCACGGGTACAGCACGCCGTCAGAATCACTGATCATCTTGTACTCCCCTGTCTTCAGAGATGGTATCTCCCAACTGGAACTGCAGAAAAGACAAAAAACAGAGTTGTACATATTAGCGCTCTGATCAGTACAGTAAGACAAAACCTCAAAAGAATCGTTGAGAAACATCTAATAACCCCACATAACAAAGAAACAATTTCCTATAAACTTAGAAAAATCATTTTTCCTACTCGGAGTAAACCAAATAAAAGTCGCAGATGTTAACTTGTGCGTGTGGGAAAGGTTACCACGGTTCAGCAGCAGTAATACCAGCGGCATGCACAGCTGACAGATATCACCATCATGTAAAAACGTCACCGTATATTTTCCCGAGCGACTGAACATACTGGTTTTCCGTACTTTACGCACTAGCGACGACGGCCGCCTCTTCGCTAATAAAACAAAGACTTTATCGTTTTTCCTAGTCCAGTCCCTTTTGTAGAAAAATATCACAGCTTAACAACTTGTAAATCCATTTGAGACCCATCTGCGGAGAAAGACGTCAATATAATACATCACGTCGCAGACATCCTCTCAGGCAAGCATTTCATTTGGTAAAAAAGAGTCCCGTCGCGATTCTCGCTGCCTGTCTGCCTACGTAACACCCACGTCTAACGTCTTACGCGATCGCTGTCACGTCAATTTGACTTGAGGTTTGACGCACACGCTGGTGAGATAGCGCTTTTAAGGGAAGGGTTGAGAGAACGCCCGCGGCGACGGACGGGCAGTCAGCCAGGGCGGTCCTGCTGCCCGTCAGACGAAAGCACTGCAAGCTGTCTTTGATAAGATAAGAAGAAGCTGAGGCGACGTTAAGCGGGTATATCCCTGGGCAGCATGTAATGAGTGGCTGATGTCGTCATTTTTCTCCTCGTTTGGAGAGATTGCATTTTTTTCTGCGCACAACTTTACTGTACCTGTCCTTGGTGCTGAAATAGATTGTTGGGAATTTTTCTCTTGATGCAACTCAGTTTCTTTGTCCAACATCAACTCATATTTTCAATCATCCGATGTTGGATAAATAAATGTATCTATCTAATTATTGTTGATTCAGGTTTTAAAATGGAATGAGGAATTGAGCTGAAATGTTACTGAAATGTTGGTTGTTGTGTCTGTACCTTCCAATGGTTGTATTTACTGTAATGTCTTCACCTGTGTTGACGTGGTTGTATATTGAATCCCGCTTGTGTCCATACTTGTGTAGATACATCACAAACTCCTTCACCCCGCCACACGCCGCTGCGCTCATCGTATTTTCCTACTTCCGGAGTTAATGTCCCGGATATTCGGGTCGTTCCCGCGGATTTGGCCGTGCTTTACCGGGCCTGTAGAGCAATTACCGCCGCATTGTTTCCTGTTAGAAGGCGTCTGTTCGTATCGATTCTGTTTCCCCACGTGGCCGCGCATAATGCCGCCTCCTAACACTCCGCCAAACTAATGCAACCCTCTTGGGAAATGTCTGCAAATACGCAGCTTTCCCCCCGCAGTTATGTTGGTATTTCCTCTCTCTCCCAAGGTACTCTTTCCACCGCCTTGTTGAATAATACGAAACATTACGGCCAATCTCATTGCACTATTCACGGATCATTTCACCTTCGCTCTACTTTGTTTTGTCTCTTGTCATAAAGGGACGACCTAACAACGTAAGGATCATGTAATGTATATTCTTAAGCTTCACAAATGTTTATTCATGTTTTTTACGCCATTCAGCCCTGGCGTACTCAAGCATATTAGTAGTAATGGTTTATGTTTTTGTTCATTCATACATGCATACATTTCAGGTTTCAATAGCATGTCAAACACTTCTAGCAGCGCATATGCTGAATTGGTGTGTTAACATTTACAAAACTAAGTGGATGTATCCAGCTCAGACCTTCGAAATTAGAATAATAACATTGGAAACAAATCACAAAACTTTCCCAAGACTGATGTACAGAGTATTCACAACCAGTGTGCTTTTGCAAACTCTTAACTACTTTGCACGTAAAACACATTAATGACTTTGTATTGGTTATTTCCTGTATGACGGCAGCCATCTACTAACAGCGGCGGTTTCTTCATTAATCTCTAATATCTTTTTAATGAAGAAGCGAGGAATGAAGTAATGCCGGATAATTAGTGCGTATTAAAACAGTTTCTCATTAATGCTGTGGTGCCCTCAGGACTTACTGCTTTGAAAGTGTTATATTTCCACACGTATAAGACGTTTGTTATTGTCAAACCAAGTGAACGTCTACCTGAAGGAAACTAGTCCCCCCCCCCCTCCCGCTATTCAAAACAACGTTTTTTTTTCGGCCAGTCCAATAGGGGTGGGGGTGCTTCTGAAATATTACATTGCAAGATACAAGATAAAACTACGTGCATGATTACGGACATGCTTGCAGACGACGTATAAAATTACATGCCGATTTAACAGAGGAATGTGTTTTAGCTGCGAACACAAAAACTGACTGACCACAATACTCCTGCAGTAGGGATACCTCCTTCACAGAGTAAAAATGTAACCACAGTCTACAATATGTAAATACATGTAATCTACTCGCGCACGTAGGTTTGCCGAATCTTCCCCAAATGTCACATTTCTATTCATTATTCCAACACCAGATCTCCTCCATGGACTCGGGAAAATTCAATAAAGGACAGAAATCATCTGTGGTACCGCCGAGGGACGCACGGGTTTAATGATTGCATCAGAAATCGTTAGCATGTTTCCGGAAAACCCTTAATGAACAATACTGCTCTGACTAGATAACTACAACCTCAAGGGTAATCCATCTATTCTTTCTATGGCGTTGACGGATATCAGAATAGACCTATGCGAACGCTGAAACTCCAACTGTCTAACTAATCGACCGTTCTGTTCCCTATAACATAATACCACACAAAAGTAGTACGATGGGTACAGATACATTTTGCAACAATACTAGTGTATGGCGTATAATCTAGAACATTCCTTACCAGTGCGTGATACAGATTGAAAGAAAATTACAAGGAGACAGACACGCAGTATTTATTATATCCTCAGCCCTTCTTTGCTGTCGCCTCAGTACAAAGTAGCGGAGGCGGAATATGTGCTGGCGAGGGGAATTAGACTTTATAAGGCACAGACATTACCTGGAGATGATGTACGTGTGGTATTAGTGGTGTACGACGTGAGAATTACTTCTGTGTGAGTTACTGTGTGGATAGTGTGAGTTACTCGCGGGCACAACACTAATGGATTTCCTAAATAAATTCTTAAAGTCTTAAAACGATTGAGTTCTTCGAGAGCCTCAAGCTTATTGGTCCATTTTTACGACATGGTGGGATATATGTATAGCAGCATTAATATTTTATAACATACTAGTAAAGTACAAATGTAATAATAACTGGAGGAGTGGCAAAGCCACCGTCAAAGTTTGGAAAATATTCGAAATAGCCGAAAGGAGAGAATACATACACATGTAATACCAGGGTTTGTGAATGTATTGGTATCAAAAAAGAAAGGAAAACACCCATGCCAGTAAGTTATCACGTTTTATGACTTTCTATGTCATAATTGTTTCGTTTTTTACATTTTATTGCGTTCATAAATTATCTGCATAATATTTCTATAGTACGATAGACCCGAATAAGACTGGGAAAACGTTTCTTGCAAGTAACTTTCACACTTATAAAAAAGTTTCCGTGAACTTTAGAAGCTCTTTCACAAGGGAGTGGTGATGAGTTGTTGAAGTGGTTGACACGACGTCAGATTTACTTCTCAGACTGCGATCTTTCCCCAGACGGAACACTTTAGACCTCTAAACGTCCTGATAGACTCCCTCGGATTTTCTCACAAATGCCAAATCACGATTTCCATCAACTCAGCAGATTACCGCTTGTCAAAGCCCGGAGTTTTTCATCCGTTAGGGATACGTTAACGGTGCCAACAGGACGCGTTAATATGCGCCGGCAAATTTTCCATAATCCCGAGGATCAAAGTGGGTCAACTCAAAATCCATTACGAATCCAGGTGGCAAGTCACAAGCTGTGGAGCCGGTAACGAGCACATCGGTAAGGGAACGTTTCAAAATCTCCAAAATTCTCGGTAAAGAGGAGCTTTTGGCAACACATGTAGCCTCTAATGTCTTATTGGATTTCCGGATGGGAAATAAATATCTTCAGTTTACGCCACAGCAAGCAATATTTATGCATGAGCGCGCATTAATTTTCGCCTGACTGATTTTGAGAAAAAAAAACAAGACATCTTGTTGCTCTCTAGAAAAATTTGAAAACGTACGAATCTTGTTTTTCTTTGCCCGCCTTGTTTTCTCTTGGCGTTTTCGCATTAGATTTGTAGTCGATGGATAATATCATCCATAAAATTTACTTGCTGTGGCCTAAAGCACGTACACAAGAATACCTACCAACATTATCCCTAAAAAAGTTTTTAGAACGAAGTCGTATCTGTTAACCATAGAAGAAAACATCAACTGACGCCCTGATTCCAGATTCCCCCGTACTATAATCCCGTACAGATAACTACCCAGGTGATATTGACAGAGACGTGTGCCTTTATTATCCCTCCAGCCGCCGCCGTAAAGAAACTCAATATTTCCTGAGACGTTCAACTTCGTCGTTACCCGCTTGTCGAACACGATTCTGAGTAGCAGGTAAGCCCTCCTCCAGGGAAACTGTAATCTCGGTTTGGCAAAGGCAGCGGCTCAGGTCCGATAGTTATCACGGACGACTCTATCGAGTTCTTACCTACGGCAAGGAGATTGTGTTGTACGTGCCTTCATGTGTGGGGGTGGGTGCATATAATCGATAACCAAGGTAACTAAAAGTTTTCAACCGGATTTTTTGCATGGACGAAAGTTTTGGACGACGCGAGATGTGATTGAATTTTCTGGATAAATCTGGATCAAGGTCCTGATCCACGAATCATTTCAGGAATGTTCAATCTCGGTGTTATGATGGAAATAGATGGTGTAGTCTAGACGGAACTAGGTCAGGTGGTGCGGAGATGTTCCGTGTCGTGGATGCTTGTCAATTTTCATCTCATTCTAGGACAGGACAGTT